TTTTCTTTCCCCCCCCCCCCCCCTTTTCCTTACCCCTATCTTTGCTATTTGCATTTTCATATTCAGTAGGTCCCTTTTGAACGCAGCGAGCCGGCCCGCGTGGACCGGCATCTTTGTACCTTCTTTTGTATTTCAGACGGGCCCGCTGCCCAAATGCTCGAGGCCCGTGGTGTATTGCGTGCGCCCTATTTCTAGTATCTTGCGCTCTTTTTGAAAACCCTCCGTACCCTCCTCTTTCCATCACCCCGTTTGCACGCACCCGAAACGGAGATAATTTGTAAGAAACCATTTTACGTTCGGAACCTTCCTCCCTGAGACCCCTCACCTCTTCCCTTGCTAGCCGTGTCATTTGGCGTTACAGTAAACATTAGAGGACCTTCTGAGGTCACTCGACGGTGCTACACCGTTACTTACTCTCGCCGACCCAGGTTATCATGTTCCTCAAAGTATCGATCTATTACTAGGAGCTGGCGTGTTTTGGGACTTGATTTGCACTGAACAGATAAGAACTGGGAAAAATCAACCAATGCTACAAAAAACGAAATTAGGCTGGATAATCGGTGGTCCATACACAACTGAAAATCAACAGGATACCATACGAGAGTTCTGTGGATTTTCTGAAACGAGAAACCTTCAAGACCAGCTCCAACGCTTCTGGAAGATCGAAGAACTGCAAACAACTCAAGCTTTGTCACAAGAAGAATGGTCTTGTGAAAGACACTTTGTACAAACACATAAAAGACTTCCGTCAGGAAGATTTGAGGTTCGACTTCCCTGTCGAAATGATCCTAGTAAACTCGGCGAATCGTACGGTAATGCGTTAAAACGACTGAGATCGATCGAAAGGAAATTCACAAAATATCCGCTAATCAAAACTCGATACACAGCGTTCATGTGCGAATACGAGAACTTGGAGCACATGAGCATTGTCAAGGAGGATAGTGACTTCAAGACAAAAAACTACTTGCCTCATCACGCAGTGATGGACGAAGAGAAGGAAACAACGAAACTTCGAGTAGTTTTTGAGGCATCAAGTAGTACTACATCAGGAAAATCATTAAACGACATTTTGATAGTTGGACCTGTCATTCAAAGAGAACTGATGGACATAGTCACACGTTTCCGCCAACACGAATACTTACTGATTGCAGACATCACTAAGATGTACCGACAAGTTTCAGTTAATCCCGAAGATAGAGATCTTCAGAGAATATTCTGGAGGAACGACGTTAACGCTCCACCCACTAAGTATCGACTTAAGGCAGGAGCCTGCTTTATAGGGTTCAAAAAATCGAAAAATTTGTTTTTCTATAAATCAACCGTAAATATATTCACGAATGTGCCCACAAAGTTTTAAAGGCTAATTCGAAGTATTTACGGAGATACAAGGCCGAACGTAGCGGCAGTTCGATCAGAAGTGCCCGCTAAGTCCTAGCGCGCGCTCGTTCCCACCGCGCGCTCCTACCACCGGCCGTCTTCTGCTCGGGAGTGATGCTTTGTTGAAATAGCCTCCTATCTGGCTGCAGGCATGTTTCATGAAGGCCATTCTGCTATTTTAACTACCATGCAGCAGCTTCAGCTGAAAATTGGCCAGCAATGTAAAATGTTCGCCGATAACGCCGACAAGCAGCGGATCGAGAGGTAGAACAGACACGCGTCCTTATCGAGCAAAGAGGCTCGACCGGCTCGTAGACTCGAACAATTGCACCAAAATGAGTACTATGAGGAAGCTGAAAGACTACTATATGCAGCAGGAATAGCTGATTAGCGTATTATTACTGTAAGTAATCAATAATTAACTTTTTTCTGGAGTTTTCATTTTTACGATTTTTCTAAACTGGCGGGCGTGATTGCAAGAAAACTAGACCACCAATCAAAACGAACCAAGGCTTGTTAGCTTCAGTTTTGTATTCTCTTCTATTTGAACTAAAAAGATTCATGAAAAAAATTCTAAACAACTTTTTTCACCAATCAAAACGAACCAAGAAGAGGCTCGACCGGCTCGTAGACTCGAACAATTGCACCAAAATGAGTACTATGAGGAAGCTGAAAGACTACTATATGCAGCAGGAATAGCTGATTAGCGTATTATTACTGTAAGTAATCAATAATTAACTTTTTTCTGGAGTTTTCATTTTTACGATTTTTCTAAACTGGCGGGCGTGATTGCAAGAAAACTAGACCACCAATCAAAACGAACCAAGGCTTGTTAGCTTCAGTTTTGTATTCTCTTCTATTTGAACTAAAAAGATTCATGAAAAAAATTCTAAACAACTTTTTTAGCAAGTTAAAACGATTTTTTTTACAAAAAAACATTTTTTTTCAAACTTGAGAAAAATTTTAGATTTCACAATTTTTTGGGTTTTTCTTAGTTCATCTAGAAGAAAAATATTTGGAAATTAAAATTTTCTTTGGTTTTTTTGTTTCAGACGAAAATTGCGAGCTTCATCTTTCCCGCCGATTGGAGACTGCAATATTGCAAGGTGTTGCACAAATGAGCATAAAAATCTGCTGTTTGAATATTTTTCGCTCAAAAAAATTTTGTTTAATGTTTAAATATGCAATAAAATAATCTTTTAAGTTCGCTACATTTGCTTATTTTTTTCTGTCCTAAAAATATTCCCCCAAAAACGTTTTTTCTAGGCCTCCTAAAGCAGGATACTGCCTTAACACACTCACGTACAGTACAGGACCAGCATCATTCCTCGCAACGAGATGTCTTGCACAATTAGCTATCGAAAACGCAGCAAAATTTCCTGAAGCCAGTAAAATTATTAAAGAAGACTTTTACATGGATGATCTTATAACGGGAGGATCTTCGGTCACAGAACTTTGTCGACACAGGGAGGAAATCAAAGAAATTCTAGAATCAGCTTCGTTTCCTTGACAAAAATGGAAATCTAATTAACAAGCAATTCTCGAAGAAAGTGAAGAAACGGACTCGTCATTCAGTCGTAGTATAGGTGGCGAAACGAAAATACTCGGTTTACGATGGAGAGCAAGTGTAGATCAACTTCACTACAAGGTTTCAGTGACGGAAGACGAACGAAGGCCAACGAAGCGAGTGGTTTTATCATTAATGGCACAACTTTTTGATCCTCACGGACTTATAGGACCTGCAACAATTGAGGCTAAGATTCTTCTCCAACAACTACGGCAATTACAGTTGGGATGGGATGAAGCACTTCCAATGGATCTTCACACCAAGTGGAAGAAGTTTAAGGAAAAACTTTTGGAAATCAACAACATCGCAATTCCTCGACACGCATTGTGCACAAAACCGATTCGGATTGAATTACATGGATTCTGTGATGCATCAACATTGGCATATGGAGCTTGTCTCTATCTGAAATCTACTGATTCATCCAGTGTTGCAAGTGTGCATCTATTATGCGCCAAATCGCGGGTTATTCCAATAAAACCAGTCAGCTTGCCACAACTCGAATTATGTGGTGCACTGTTGCTTTCTCCGCTTTACAAAAAAAAAACGATAGCTGCACTTACCATCAAAATTAATCGAACAATCTTCTGGTGCGACTCTAGTGTCACATTGGCATGGATTCGTGGGCAACCTCATCAGTGGAAGGAGTTCGTCCGCAATCGCGTAACAGAAGTTCAAGACACAACAAAGAAGGATGATTCGATACACATAAGATCAGAGCACAATCCTGCTGATATTACTTAAAAGACGTACATGTTTCTCTACAAAAAACTTGGTGTGCCAGCGACTAGCTCCAATATAGGTTTCTTAAGACCTTTCCCGTACATTACAATCTCCTAGGTAGATGCTTAATAGACGTACATGTTTCTCTACAAAAAACTTGGTGTGCCAGCGACTAGCTCCAATATATGGTCCATTGAAGTAAGGACGGCGAAAAATAGATACTTTTTTCTTAGCGTTGAGTAAATCAAGAACATTACAGTCCAGAGTAGTTTGAATAAACATGTCTACAAAAATATGATATTCTATTTGTTTAATTAATAAAAAGCAATTTATATATATTTTGCTGATGGAAGCTGAATTCCTCTAAGACACTTGCTTCCGCATGATAAAAATATGAAGAAAAGATTCATTTATGAATTTAAATTTGTGTCAGAAGGAATGTCTGAAATGGAATCAATCATCCATCAACGAAAGATGTAAATTTCTTTTAATCTATTCGATGTGTGGAAAAAATTCATAGCTTTGCTGACGATAGCTTTATTAGTAACACAACGGCACGAGCCGAAGCCAAAGTGACTGGAACATCTCTTCGTTTGAGGCAGCCATAAGAAGAGCAAGGAAGGCTTCCAAAGTGAATGTATTTCATGACAGCGCGCGAGAACAAAGTTTACTTTATCGCACTAGTGCGAGAAGAAAGCACTAGTGCGATAATGTAAAATTGGGCCGATTTGCGCATGCGCAGCATTTTTATCGTATCCATAGATGTATTTCATAACAGCGCGCGAGAACAAAGTTTACTTTATCGCACTAGTGCGAGAAGAAAGCACAAGTGAGATAATGTAAAATTGGGCCGATTTGCGAATGCGCAGCATTTTTATCGTATCCATAGTTATAAAGCGCCACTTTCGCCACACTTCGGAGGCACGAAAAGTAGTGTTTTTCATGCATGAGTTACATAAAATAAAATATGCAATAACGGATAAGCCGAAATTTTTCGGATATACGTATATACTGAGAAATTGCTTTCTCCCGTCCTTACTTCAATGGACCATATATTGGAGCTAGTCGCTGGCACACCAAGTTTTTTGTAGAGAAACATGTACGTCTATTAAGCATCTACCTAGGAGATTGTAATGTACGGGAAAGGTCTTAAGAAACCTGCGAACAAATCGGCTCCCTTGACCACAACCAAAAGCCTTTATTTCCTCCGATTTATCATTGACGGAGACCGTGTGTGCTTGAGCCTCGAATTCAATGACTGACTCGTTTGCACGCTCTTACATTTGTCGTGCCCTCTCGCCGGGCCGTGCCTCACACATACCAGTACACCACAGGATTTTTGCTTGGCTAATTTAATGGATTTGATTTAATATTTTTGCTTGGTATTTTTTTAGCAAGGATTTATTTTTTATGAAATGGCTACACTTTTAATACTTGGCGTAACCGTTTTGTTTTGAAAAAACATTTTTGGTGTTATTTGATATCTTTTTGAAAGTAAGAACATCATGAAAAAATTAAACAAACTCATTCTACATATATCTCAGTGATGATTAAAAAATTTAATTCACAGTAAACAGTAAAAATAAACATGAGTAGACACTACTAAATGTATAACAAGAGACACGGATTGCGGTAAAAATTTTACAAAATACTTCGTCTAATATTTGAAACAGCTGACAACAAAAAATTAATCGAAATTAGCAGGAGGCGAAATACAATTTAAATCCTCGTCTCAAGCAGACTGATTCTTGCGTTCAGTGATTTTCAATGACTTATACTTTTTTCCTAGCGTTGAATATAACAGTCAATCCCCATTGCTGACAGGTTCAAATAAAGCTATCGTCAGCAAAGCTATGAATTTTTTCCACACATCGAATAGATTAAAAGAAATTTACATCTTTCGTTGATGGATGATTGATTCCATTTCAGACATTCCTTCTGACACAAATTTAAATTCATAAATGAATCTTTTCTTCATATTTTTATCATGCGGAAGCAAGTGTCTTAGAGGAATTCAGCTTCCATCAGCAAAATATATATAAATTGCTTTTTATTAATTAAACAAATAGAATATCATATTTTTGTAGACATGTTTATTCAAACTACTCTGGACTGTAATGTTCTTGATTTACTCAACGCTAAGAAAAAAGTATCAGATGCAATGAATTTTCCGAGCAGAAGATGAAATACAATTTAAATCCTAGTCTCAAGCAAATTGACTCTTGTGTCCAGTCATTTTCAATTACTTATACTTTTTTTCCTGGTGTTAAGCAAAAGTGATGGTTATTGTCAGAAA